AACTAAAACTGCATTGCAGTAGAAATGAGGCCAAAAGCTATTTTGTCCCTTCTTCTCATGTAATAAACGATACGTAGCGTATCCCCGTGAAGGGAAGGAAAAAAGCAACAGGGTCGTAGGTTAGCATTATGAACGCTATATGGCAGAGTGTAGGGACGATGTGACACCAAAAGTATGCAGACATACGCTCCAAGACACAACCTTGCATATATTTGCACATCACATCCCGATACGTAGACTTTACTTTAGTCGAGATATTCATCAATTGATTAAAATTCTCTTTGCTTTTACCATTTGAGAAAATGGCTCGCAAAATTTAAATTTATCATGATTTCGTTCCGTTTCTGTATATGAGAAACAAATTTCTTTAATGATCGTAATCAATATCGTAACAGGAAAGGCATAGAAATTCGTAACTCTACCGAAAAATGTCAAATTTGGTATTAATTGAAATTCTGTCGTTGTCACCGGGACATTAAAGGGAAAAATATTTCTCGTCATATGATATAATATGAGTGCACGCATGCGTGTGTGTGTATCTTGCCTTTTTTATATCCTTTCATCCTTTATCCTATTAGTATGTAAGCAGAACGGTACTCCTATCATTGTTACAGGGCTCCCCTTCTAAGCCTGGCTTCTTATTCCTAGTCTTCTTTTCTTTTCTTTTTCTTTTTTTTAACCAAATTTCTGACCTTTACAATGACTCTGCCAGCATGAAAGCTGATTTAATAATACTTATAAAATAATAGTACGTGCACGTAACCGTGTATGAGTTTTGATAGTTGCTCTTGTTGTCGTCGCTATGAGTAACAAAACTAAAATTCTGTGATGAACTTTTTTTTTTTTTTGTTTATTTTCTATTTAGGTTACATCATGCTTTCGTAACTTTTTTTCATTTTTCACAGGAAAAAAATATGTGTTTATGAATGAACAATATTTTCCAAAATACGCGCACTCATGCATAACATACGTATCTACATATATAAGTATTCAAACTAACAAAAAACTTCTAGTGTTATTATAAAACCCATAGAGTACACAAGATATATACTACAATATATATATATCGCGTCTCCATTGTCTGGATTATCCATGGCACTAAACTCTAAACAAACAACACCAAAAAAGAAAACTTACAAATATTCAGAAAGAAAAAGAACTACCACAAGGTTTATTAAAATTCTCTCTAACTTACGTATATAGTCAATGTCCGTCTAAGTAACCAAGTAGGTAAGAACCATAACGATCAAGACAGTCAGTGCTCGCGGGCGTAAATCTGAAATGCGAGTCCTCTATGCTCGTAGCTATAGTCAATGCTTGGTTGCTAAAGGCATAACGCTTACCGATTGAGTACACACTCACTACGCTGCGACCATCACTTCCCCGTTCCCTTCTCTTTCCGGTCTTCTTTCTGACAGTGACCGTATTGCATGAATAGGTGACATCCTCTGAGTGACTGGTCACAGCCCAGAAAAAAAATAAATAAATAAATAAAAAACTACACAAGCAAGTCAAGCGTTGGGAACTGTTTTAGCGCTGACGGTCGTGATCGCCGCGAAAAGGAAATAATGCAAGCAAGAAAGTGACTGTTGTCGAAATCACAATTGCATCTGAAAAATTTAAGCTCTTATGAATCGAATCATCGTTGGCAATAATTAACATGGGCCTATTATGATATGATGTCTTGTTAATTCCAGAGATTCGTGGATTTTTGCACCTTTGTCCGTATCCGGAAAACTCGATTCCTTCAATTTTGCCTATAATTACGGTGTATAGTAACCCATTTGTTTTTTATCCACAGTTACGTAACGACTACGACTTAGTTTTAATCACCTATGAGTTGCTCGTTGAATTGACTTCGCAATGGATTTTGGTCGACTGTGAAGGGATTTCGTACCTAATTTACGCAAAACCTTTGGCGAATCTATCTATTTCGTGCAAGATGTTAATCGCTAGCCCACCCGGAATGCTTGCGATTCTTCAACTTCACATCATTAATTTTCTTCAATCATTTTTGGTGTTGGAACGTCAATAAGTCAATCTATTGAGTGTTGCTCAGCACTTTAAATATAGCCATCCAGCATATCTACAAAGCAGATTTTACGAATTGTTTGTCGAGAACATCTTTAGTTTTTCTTTTCGTCCTTTCTTCCTTTTCATAAATAAAAAAATCTTTACTCACAGTACGAAATTCGTCTCTCTTGGTGGGAAAGAAATAATCAAAATTTGTAAGACCGTTAGATACCAAACTAACGAATGTCATCATATTTCATATATATATATATATTATCGTCTAAGGACTTGCTTTATCTAAAACTATACGCATTCCAGTTTACTAGTGAAGTTGTTCCGACAAAAATCGACAAAAATGCTACATATTTCTTTCTTCATAGGCTTCATATTTACTAACTCGCACGCACACACAGGCACCCTGAAGGAATTTGTTCTGGAATTACAAGCATTTCAGGGTTTCGGGTTATAATACTATTCCGATATATGCTCTTGGCTGAGAAAAGACTTGATCCATAATGATGAACGCGTATGTATGTATATATATATATATATATATATATGTATACATATATATATTGAATACATCATGTACAGAATATATCAAGAGCTCAGGATCTATATCATGATATCAAACTTCAAATTTGGCACAAATCTTAACCAAGAGTATGTAAATCTTGTCTTTAGGAATCGTTTTTATTCACTTTCACGCGGCATTGCATGTTTTTCGTAGGTTTGTGTTAAGGCGCGAATATCATTTATTTATTTTCTTATAATCGGATGCGTACTTAATGCACTCGTAAAATGTCTTCTATTAAGTGGTTTTCACTGTACCAGTTGGAGCCAAAGCGCCAAGCGAAAGCTTCTTCAAACTATAAAAAGCGATCGCAACAACAAAAGAGTGTAAGATAACATTATTTTAAAAGTTTATATTTATTAACAATTTTAATTAAGTGTCGCATAAATAGTTTGCTGGCACTTAGTAAACGGGTTGAATCGATCAAAATCAAAAACAAAGTAAGACAAATATTAATAATTAACCGTATGATGGCGCTGATGGGGTGGAACATGGTTGCATTTTTGTATATCACATGGAAGCGTTAACAGTGTCAACCATCTTAGACTGCATGAGGAATACTGACTTGAACGGTTAAGAGAGGTAGACGTAACAACGACGCGCATTATGAATATGAAGATGTAGTTCCTTCATCAATATTCACGGAATACATATACAATTCGAACTAAGGAAAAATAAAACAATTAAGTTATACGTTCTAGAGATCGAGGTTTTCCTTCTTCTTGTACACGATATTAATGATATTGTTATGAAATTCGCTTTTATAAGACACTAGATCGACTAGATCGTGGATATTTTGATCAAGAGAAATACACTTCAAAGTTCTTTTATCTTTAGTTCTTTGTCTTTCACAACAGCAGGAATATTTGTTTACAATTTATTTTTGGCCGTACTCTCAACTTCTATGTTCTTGCCAGATTAACTCTACTTTTCACAAATATTCTATTTATATACAATTTTACAAGCATCTTACTATACTTAAATTTGGGGAGATGAACTATGCTTTGATGGGTAGCATAGATATGCCGAAACTCTCACCTCCCAGTGGTGATCCCCGGGCAACGGCTTCGGCCGGCTAAGAAGAGTTTAAGTTTTGGGCTGCTAACTCGGCGACGAGTTTCGGAGAGATGGTGGAGGGGTTGGCTGGAAGATGAGCTCTTCACTCTCTAGCTGGTTACTACCAAGAAAATATCTGAATGGGTTTAAGTACGTCGAAAGTAGTAACCTAGCGGGTGCATGGTAGATTACTCTGCCATGTCAGTGCAATACCCGAGACCTATATATCTTGAAGAAAAGTAGTTCACTGGTGTTGGTAACCAGGAGAGTATGGAGAATCCGAAGCAAGTGCGGTTGTTTTTAACATCCGCCCAAAGTATGCCTAAGGCTTTGTAAAATAAACTGGGAGCCACGGGGGTCAGGAGGCTTGCCTCACAAAGCCACGTATGCCTGCGGGTGTATGATGGACTTTGTCCTTAAGTCGTAATGAATAAATTAATGATACTATTAATGCAAAAAGGGATTGACGGACGGCCTTCCCTTTTGCCCATTAATAGAACATATCTGGCAAACTAATTTAATACATGTAAAAATGAAAAAAGGGATATGACGGAAAGTTTTTTCCCCTTTTACCTATTTTTACTTTCGAACACATGTCACGGATGCCTGCGGGTAATGGTGGTAATTGATCAACGGCGCCGTGGAACCCTTATGGCGGAAGCGAGCGCAAGTTTTTTTTTTTACCCTTTTTGAACGCATATCGTTGATCAATTTGTGAGTCCTGACTGCTTGGGTGCGGCCCTTCGGGGAGTACTCGTGGTGGTTGTGGTTGGCGAGTTCCTAGCTAAAATGGAACAATTGAGTGCAGCTAGGCCTCGCCATTGACCTGAGTGGGCTTTATTGTTCCATACACAATAAACCGTTCTGGACTCTGGTGCTGTTTAGGCCCCTACTCTGTGGGGATTGTCTAACTCGCCAGGGGGCGTAGTACGCTTAAAAGTGGCTTGGGCCACCGTGGGGTTAAGCCTTTCAGGCAGGAACCCACGTTAAACCCTTGCCACAAATTCTATACTTAAATTTATGGTTTTATTTCTAATCCCAGCCTGGTTTTTCCCGCTAATCATTTTCATCGGCCTGGAGCTTCATGAGGCGCCTGCGAATGCTCATATGGTTTTTCCTTCTTTAGGGAATTTATTATTACGAAAATTACTTAGCTGATGTTAACTGAATTTGGAATTTTCGTAACAATATTTTTATGTTTTTCATAAAATTCTTATTTCTCATCTCACCTTGGAAATTTATATTTCGCAGATTGCTCATAGGGATATACAAAAGTTTGGGAGAATTCAGGATCATATGTAAATAAAGGAAGAAGAGATCATACTAACGAATTAAGAAAGAATTTACTGTTAGTTTGGCTGAAAATCTTTGATGCCCAGTAATGCAAATAATACGTTCTTTGTTGAACACGCAGCCGTGTATCGGCCTTAAAATGATATTCGTTCCGACGTTAAAGTTTTCTTTGTAGAAAATTTCAGATTTACGTGTAGGCTGCTCTTCTTAAAATTTCCCTTCAGCGTTTAACAGATTGGAAGGAGATTCATTGAAAAGCTGAAAATGTCATCAAAGTCATTTTACTCAAGAGTATCAATTTTAAAATTGACTTTTGCGACCTTCAAAAACCTGACAAAGGATGCGAGATGGACAAGCGATTGAAGGCATAGATGCACGCTATCGCAATTAATTTAAATAATTTTTTCGTGTATATATGAAATTTCAGACTTGAGTGTTCCGAAGGAAAGATAAATTCGTTGTAGCGTTTATACTTAGTGGTAAGTATAAAAATCACTATATCTTTAAAAATGTATAGTAAGCGTGGCAGCAGCTCAATCGGAATAATTCTTTAATTAAAATTTATCGTAACATTGATGCAAAATTTTAGATTTCACTTAGTCCTAAATGTTTAAAGGAACTAAATTCAAGTTTGCTCTGTTTTTAGATTGTCGCAAGTTTCTAATTAGTACGAATGTGTTTACGGGGGCGTTAAGTGAAATTTGAAATTCTTTGGTTGGGAGTCAAACTATAAGAATAAATGTTTCACGATTGACCCTTTCACGCTTAATTGTTATGACACTTGAGTTTGTAGCAAAGGACAAATGAAAAGACGGACATGTTCAGATCAAATCATAATTTGACCCTCATCAGCAACTTATGTCCTTTATGAGATGATTGCTGCATACATGCAGCTGTTGTTACGGAATTACAACTTGAGGTGGTGGATGCGTAATATGCATGGTAAACAAAAGAGTGAAAGAAACCATTGTGCACAAACAAAAGCTTTTCTACGTACACCTACGCATACACATATAAATGCATATATGCATATATGCATATCGGATTTTTAAACAAAGTCCGCACATTGTAGCTTAAATCGCGATAATAGTATGAAATATATAGAAATAGCGAGATAATAATACAAATATATCTGTGAGCGGGGAGACAAACATAGAAGAGGGTGCTTATAGCAATTCGTTGCCGTTTGAGAGCGAGTGTATGCCGCTCGTTCGCCAGTTAATAATTTTGTGTATTGACGTACGTAATGAATGTGCGACACTATTAAACGGTTTAGACAAACACTGAATTTGGGTATGCAGTAAATTAATTTAAAGTAACAACAATGTAACGCAATAAATAACAATAGCTAGAAAAACAATGCAACATATAATTTTAAATAAACACAATACTTCGAATGGATTGTTGCATTATTTACACAATATTAATAATATTGAAAGGCTTTTTCAGTACGCGTATCGACATATCGTCGTATCTGCATATATGCGTATTGGTGTATCGGTGTACCGGTACGTATATGCGCGCATATGCCCATATGCCTGCATGTATGTATACATGACTGTATACATGTGTTTGCCTACGTTTTTAAATTATACTTTCGTGAGAAGGAGAGCGATAGAGAATAGAAAGAAGAGAGCTAGAGAGTTTTGTGTTTATCAATTTAATTGTTAATGCAAATGTTAGTAATGCACAGCATTGTTATAATATATATATATATGTATATATATATATATATATTGTTATTTCTGTCGTTGTTGTTACTTGCCTTTCCGGATAGCTGTTAGTGTATTTGCATAGTGCAGATGTAACAGTTATTTGTTAAAGAACTTTTAATAAAAGTTAATATTTACAAATGTTTTATTGTGTTTTGTTTTGATTTTTATTTTTACATTTTTCTAGTCTACTTTTGGTTAAATCATTTTCAAGAATCAGTTAACTCACCGCCTTGGCCATACTCAAAAAGATATTCACCCAATAATATCCTAACCATATATCTTTCTCTTTCTCTGCTTTGTAAGAGTTTTCTGCAATCCATTTAACTCGACTGCATAGTTTATGATGCCCTTACATTTTCTGATGAGTTGAAATTGAAATTCTGTTAAACTAATATTTACCGAATTTTGCTGCTATTGAAGCAAAACATGTCGGGTTTTATTTGTCTTTTGTCAATTTGGCAAATACACTTGAATGATTTGTTCAATCTCCTATACAAACATACATGCAATCACCAGGTTACTTGATTTGCTAACTCAATGGTTAAATCACATTAAAATTGGTATACAGATGCGTCAGTGCTTTCTTTGTTAGTTTACTTTCCCAAAAATTTTGTAATGTGATACAAACAAACTTTACTTTTGTAAATCGGATATCACAACGAGATAGGTTGGAGAAGTTTTAAAGAAAATAACCCCCCCCCCCCCCCCATCTGCCCATCACCCAATCCGCCACCCTACTACTCACCCGGAAAAAAAGAAAAACAATAGCAACAGCAGGAATAATCACGTAAACCATATAAAAGAAATCTTTTGTTTACAATATTTGTAAAATATTATCTTATAATGGGATATATGCGTAAGTTGCACATAAATGAAACTGTAGATGCATATAACTTGAGTATTTATATAATAACAATGCATGTATAACAATCATTGCTTTGTTCCTATTTGCAAAGCAAGAAAATTTCTCCGGATTAAAAGCAAAGAATGAATAAAATTCATCTCGGACTAAGTCTCTTGATGCCAATAATGTCTCTGGCGTTAGTTTGAAAAACAAAATCCTTCATGCATACACTAATTAAAGTGACCACAATGTTTTTTTTTTTTTTTTTTTTTTTTTTTTTTTTTTTTTTTTTTTTTTTTGTTGCCAGAAAGTAGTACGGATTGAAATTTTTACCCCCTCCCAGGTTACTTGTATCTTTTAATAATAATATTTGCACTAAAAGAGAAAAGAGACTTTGAAGATATATGGGATATATGGGGATCCGACCTTTTCTCATAATTTGCATTCAATTTAATGCATAAATTGAATAATGAACATCGATACATGTACATAAGAAATGTTGAATTATCATTTGGTTCACATGTGCATTGGGTACCGTCAATATAAGGAATCATTTTGAAAAATAACACAATTCTAGATTTTTGAGGCAAATTGACTTTTTTTTGTGGGTTAAATGCATCGACAACGAGATGCTATTAGATTACTCTAGTATTCTATTTTGTTGCTGTTGTTGTTGTTGTATTTCGGGTTTTCGATTAAGCAAGTATATTTTGGAAAGTTTTAACCTAATGACACACCTGTTGGTACCTTTTCTAATACGCTCACCGATGACTGTAAAGTTGTTCGTACTTTAGCGTAGATACATATGAGGATAAGAGCAATTCGAAGGAAGCAAGAGCTTTGAAGACTATTTCAATGTTGATTATAAGTTCGGCTATAGAAAATATTGGAAATCTTTTTGCCGCTTTCTTTCCCATTTCGTAACATTTAAAGCACACTGATTGTGATCTTGTCTTTGACAGACGCACAGACAGTTTTGAGCACATCACGCTTCAGTACAAAACTTTTGAAGAAATTTAATTACGAGGTATATTTGAAGTTTACAAGGAAATTTTTTAATCCTGGAATTGACGAATGCCGACAACACATTTCAAAACTTTTACCAATTTTCCTCGAAATATTAATTTTACAAAACGTCCAGTTATGTTACAACTCTCATCATTTTCATTCTTTTTACTGAACTCTTTTTTACAATATATTTCGCATGCGATTTTAAAGAGAGGTACGTAGGGAAGTTTTGACAAATTAATTTAAAAATTATTTATCACAAATAGATTTCGTGTTTTCTCTGAGAAAATTGACAGTTTCGTTCAAATGCTAGCAAGCAATCATACAGAAATTAATGTTATCGTCCCCTCCTTCGTGCACCAGCTGTAGGCAAGGAGGTTAATTAGAATTATAATTTTTTTTTTTTTGTTTTTTTTTGTTTATTCAAATACTTTTTGCCACAAGGCCCCTTCATAAAGGAATGCTTCACGACGCTGCCATTATCCAACATTCTCCAGAAGTAATTTTTTTTTTTACGTTTTTAACGTTTAAATATATTGTTGGTTAGTAAAGTGCTCGAATATGATCCTTGTGTTATTATTCCTTGCATCTCGAGAAAGTTTTCAAGAATACGCTTTTTTTTAGTTTATTAGGACGAAGTAAATTTATATATGTGCATAGAATCCGTTGGTCAAAATTTATACACTTCGTGTAGGGAGTCACTAGATGTGTACGTACTGTGATATTGTCGTGAGGGAAGACAACAACTTTCCAATTGATTAATTAATTCCATTTAACGATGAATAAACGAATATATAATTCACGATCTGGACAAATATGCGACATATTTCTTTATGCATAGGCTATACTTACTAACTCGCACGCGTACACAGGCATTTTAAAGGAATTTGTCCAGGCAACTATCGACATCTGATAAATTCGGAAAATAGCTGTGTGAGTATGTGGCATAGACGCTTTCCAGGAAGTGGACAACCAGCATGGTGCCTTGTTGTTCCTTACTAATTTCAGTTTAAATTTTTCCCCTTTAATAATCTGAATATTTTCGTTTACCCAGGGATCTAATAAGCAACTAATAAGTAGTATTAAAGTATTATAGTGATTAAGCATAATCATAAAGAGGTATATGCTTTTACAGCTGTTATGCATGTGCTTGAAAACCTAGTACCGGATGCCCGCCACCGATACTCGCAAAGGATTCTAATGCTTAGGCAGTCGAATAAGGCAGCGGTGCCTACAAAGCAAGAAGTCGTACGTTAGTAGCTAAGTTCACGTAATCGGTGATTGACGTCCACTTTTATAAGCGACAGTCTGGTGCCAAGATCAAATCAAGATGGACAGTGAGTAAAGATTATTCAAAAAACAACTGCCAGATAATATTCTGCGAAATTAATAGTGCACAGGTAGGAGGGAGCAAAAGTCCTAGGCATATACCAGCCCTCAGTGGAACACTGTTGCTTTCGGCAAAGAAATGTTTAAGATAATGATGTTCTCCAGCGATATAGAGGAGAGCACAACAGGAAAGTTTGATAATGACACAGGTATTGAGTTCAATAACATAACAACTGGCATCCCGCAACTATCAACTCTCGGTCCCATATTAGACAACAGCAGGTGCAATGACGTCCTCAAATCCCCAATTGGCGGCGATACCACTGTAAAGGCGTCAATCAAGTAAAGGCGATTGCAAACGATACAGTGGCGCATGTGAAAGCATGACTAGTCGTAGTAGGAACGTAGTACCAACGAAAAATTGGTCTCAAATTCTGTATTTTCAAATAAACTTTCTGGCCAAAGCCGATGGAGATGCTGTTTTATTTAAATCTTACTCCCATAAGTAGAGGAAGGGGAATACGACGGTCTAACATAAGAACATTTTCTGAAACTCAAAGCACCTGAAGTCAATTAGTATACAAGTGCTTGTTTACCGCAAATCTTGAGAGAAACTAGAAAAAAAAAACCGTCCATCGTTCACAAAGAAAGCGGATTATAAATCGATAAAAACAACCGATTTAGTTAAAGCGATTATTTAATTTCTCTTTTAAATCCGCTTGTCAGAATATTTGAATACCTGATATTAACTGTAAATTACGGCGTACTATTGTATATATATATATATATATATATTTTTTTTTTTTTTTTACGCCCAATAACTCGGGAGATGTGCCTAACATGCGTACGCCTGCAATGACGGTCAGAACGTAGTGAAGACATGGAAAGAGATAGGGAGGTGGCCGCAGCCTAGTGGATGTGTGCCTAGTCGGTGACTGTTATGCCTACACCGACTGAAGATCCACTATAACCATGAACTCTATCATGCTGAGGCCAGACCCAGCGAACACTGGCTTGGCTAATCTTGCGGATCTGTCTGGCCGTCAAGAAAGGCTATATATGTTAAGCCTAAGTTTTTTATTTATTTATTATTTTTTGTAGATAAGCGGACTCCAGCGATGAATGTTAGACCGCAATGAATTCGAATATGGATCCTACGACTAGAAGACGCATTTTGATGTCAGAAAGAAAAGGACAAGTTCGGCATAATTCCTCCCTTCGAGGCTCAGGATAACAAAAAAGTTCTCAACGTTAAACCTTGGTTTTCATTAGCCAGTCACCGTCGAGTTACGCGTACATAATTCAAATCTCGTATTGTCCAGACTCGGTATATTCGCCACCAAAAAGGGCTTAATAAGAAACGAAAATATGTCGTCTTGATACTCTTGGACGAACAAGTCCGAATTTCTTAATCACTCCTTTTATAAAAGATGTGACTCAAGTAAGATTTTGAAAACCCACTTGTTGCGATTTGTTGAAAATAATCCTTAAATTATTATATTTTTTACAGTAATAATTCCGTATGAAGCAAGCATTCCGTTCTTGGCAAGCATTGCTTTATGCAAAAACTGTCATTTGCAGATTAAACTCGAAAATTTTCCTATTTTAGCTCTTGCTGTGTGTTGCACGTATACTCAGAGTACTTCATAATTTATTAAAACATTCAAAAGCATACGTTTCATAGTTTTTTTTTTTTTCTAAATTACAATATTTTTAGATCTTATTAAATTATTTGTTCTTCTTCTTCTTTTTCTTCTTTTTTTTTTCTTAAGTGTTACTTCGTATTTGTATTTTTCATTTTAGTCCAAAAAAAAAAAAATTGTTGTTACTGTTTATAAATTCTTTTATTGCTGTATACAGGAGCATGATAATAAATTTACAAAAGAAAGCACATGAACTCATGTGTAAAATAATGTCTGGCCATAAAAATCAAAATAAATATTATAAGATTTTTAGGGAAAAGAAATATGAGAAGCTGTTGACCCCGGGCTCCCGTACCTATGCCTACTTTAAGGACCATTTACATTATTGTTAATTTTTTTTTTTTTTTTTTTGTAGTTCCTTTCTTGAGGAAAGAAAGACGCAAAAAAAAAAATGTAAGAATTTTCAATTTGAAAGGCTAAGGCCAAGTTTCCACAAACCACTTGAAGTGGTAGTCGTGTGCATATAATTCAATTAAATTTTCAAAAAATAAAACTCAAGTTGTACTTCTGCGTCATCATCTGAAGAACAACATTAACTTGCTGGCCGTCGTCCTTACTCAACCAACATTGTGGCCGTTGATCAGCGTTTGTTTATTGTTGCCCTTAAGTTGAACAAAGTGATGGTTTTTTAAGCCATTTAAAACGGCCATAATTTACAAAAACAAATGCAAAAAAATCCTTGTTACTTAATAAGCAGTTGCTCAAATCAAGATGAGACGAGACGGGCTTCACTTATCCTAAGTATTGTTTTCCACAACGATTCGATTAAAATAAATATAACATACATTTTGTCCGTTCTTTAGAATTTCTCTGCTTTCTGCGTTTATTTATTTTATTTTTTTATGATTATTGTTCGTATTTTTCTTTACATTATTTTATGATTTTCTGGCTTCCTCCTTTTTTTTTTATTATTTTTTTGAGGTTCAGTGAATTATTTTATTTCCCTTTGATTGCATGGTAAAGATTTTAAAATTTAATCCAATGTTTGGTTTTGTTCTTAAATAAGTTTCACGAGGAGCTTTTTGCCAAAAAAAGAATCTAAAGAAAATCATTTAGTCTTTATTTACATTTTTAGAAAATTATTCGCTTTAATAACAATAAAAATGATAATAATAATGTCATAACACTGTACTAGCATTAGTTTCTTGTCTTTATTTTCTTAAAATCACAATATTCTTAAGCAATTTTTTTTTAATTTTAATTTTATAATAATGAAAAAAAAAAAAAAAATAATTTATTATTGATACTTGAAGCGAGACTGCTATTCCTATCTCATCGCGAAAGAATTTTGTAAGCGCCTAACGACTTTTTTGCTCATTTGCTCGTGACTTGTGGGCGCGTCAATTGACTTTGTATCATTTCGATTGTTTTTGCACTAAAATTTTCAATTGCTCAAGAAATTAGATGACCATAATTTTAGATCGGCACACTTCCTCTAGGCTTTGCCAATGTATGTACCGCCTATTGAAGAAGAGTGCTTCGAATGTTGCATTGAATTGTGGTTGCGTAAGAATTTCCAAACTTGAAATATGAGCGTTTTTAAGCTAAGCTCCAGTTGCCAATGTGAATGTTTGTCACATTCGACGCAACCACCGAGTTTATTTTGATTGTCTATTTATTAGTAGGTAGTAAGACTGTTAATAATCTTCATAAAAATTATTTAAATTAATTATGCAATCTGGCATCTAATATTTTATCTTACACTTACTAGCCGAGAAGGTAAGTAAAACAGATTTTTTTTGTTTCGCTTGGGTGTTAGTTAGAAATGCTCAACAGTAGTAGATATATATATAGGGTAAGTGGGGTGGAATAGGAGATAAGAGGCTAAGTCGATTTTTTTTTTGTCGCTGTCTCTCTTTCCTTATCCTCCCTGTTGAAATTCTTAAGACTCGATAAAATGAATTGTTGAGCTGAACTCTGACAGATGTTTTCTTCACTGATTTTATATAATTTAAACTTAACACCCTATGAATATTGTCATAAATAATTTACTTACTTGTCTTGTATTGTAATTTTGACTTTAACATATTACTTTACTTACTTAAAGTCGTTTATAAGAATCCGAAGAAATGTACTTCAATTAAGACTAAATCCATTTTCTATAAAATCTATCAGCACTTGATCGGAACATTTAGTTAAGTACTGGAATCTTCACATTAAAAATAGTTGCGAAAAATTTAATAAACATTTCTTGAAATTTTTATTCCGTTTGCGTCGAACAACTCTGCATTTGTACTCCGCGAAATGACAGATTAGCTGTCAGTTCTGGTTATTAGTTTATCACAACAATTTACTTTATTAAACAAAATAGGAGTTGTAAAGGAAATAAAATCGGGTCTAAGTCAAACAGTCACTGAACAAACTGCCCTGTATATTGGGAATAAATGAATGTAATGGTTGGTTTCTCCTTTTTGTCGATTACTTCTCAAGGCATATATTTCTGTAGTTGTCAGCGTAGGACTCATGAATAGTTACAACTCGGTTATCAGAAAGATAAGCTGCCATAAGCGTTAGAAGTCATAGTAAATTTTTCAGACAACAAATTTTTTTTATTGCTCTTATGGATTTTTTGAACCTCCTACCACATGTGGGAAACAAATTCATTGATTTCATATTTTTTTTTAGTAAAATTTCGGGTTATCTCCGTATCGCCAGGAAAATACTTTCTGTGTCGAATCACTCCTTGCTCAGAAGCTGTAGCTTTACGTCACACTTATTGCTATTTACCTAGACTAACAACAAATAACTACTAGTAGACTAACAAATATTTTCACAAAGGTATAAAATTTTCGATGTAAAAAACATTTGGATGACCGCTGAAGAAACGTTTGTTCTTAGAGCGATTCGTAGGCTTTTAATAATTTTCTTGTAAAGAAATACGGCTAGAGCTTGATAATCGATCGCAGTAGCCCTGCTGTCGGGCAAAAAATATCCATGAAATATCCAGACAGGATGACAGAATCATTTCAATTTCTATCGAAATGGTAAACAATTACATCACTATGCATAAACACGCGGAAATTTTTATATCAATATCGAGGAATGGTCGCACGTATTAGTAAATATTCAATTATCTGGTCGCATCATTATGTAAGTGTAATTTCCCCGTTACCTTTTCTGTTCATAGACGTGAAATTTAATTTTGCGCTTATCTCTCTTTTGTCTATGAGAGACGCGGCAAATATTCACTTTATTATTACATTGCGTATGTTCACTCTTCCTAAGTATATTTGAACACTTGAGAGTATGATCAATAAATCAATTTCATTTATTTATTGAAGAAAATTGAAAAGTTAAAATTGAATAAATGGCTGCAGTTAGATCAATGAAATGTATGGAATGCATGGAATCAGATTGCGGGAACTCCACGCAAGAAATCAAACTAATCAAGATCTATAAATATTGTCATCGTTTTAAGTAACATGGCTTGTCTTAAGAACTTAATCAATGTTGCCAAGTTAAGATCGTAAATACGCCAATCGTTTAAGTGTGTTTTCAAAAGACTTTAAATATTTTTTTCTCAATTTTTAGACCGTTAAAATTAATTGCCAATAGCATGTGCTATCGACGCTACTACACAAACCTCATAATGTCCTTCCTTCCAACCTAAGCCAGCATCACCTAAGAATGAAGCTAATTGACCTCATCGCAACGAGTAACATTGCTACGAGTTTATCTGCTTCAATTTGGTTTAAGCTTTATAAAGTATGTGCTTAAAAACTACGAAACTGGGACCACTTTTTAAGTCAATCTAACACTTTAGGCAGGTTTGCTTAGAACTCTCCTTGAAATAAGCCAAACTTCGCAGCC